GGAGAGAGAGAGAGAGAGAGAGAGAGAGAGAGAGAGAGAGAGAGAGAGAGATCCACGTCTTAAATATCGAGCAGAACGCAGAATTTTGTAACTAGTTTTACGCTACAAGACCAAGCTCCTTTTTACTCATTCCTACAGCTGAGTTATAGATCACCATGTTTTAGTTGTAGTTTTACGGCCCTTGTAACACAAAAAGGTCATATAAGTGCCGAAGATTGGAGGTGCTACTAGAGTGTAACACACGCATAAAAGAAGGGGGAGCGGTAAAGACGATAGTCATTTGATAGGAAAGAAGGAGCAAGCCACACCAGAGCACCCGACAACCACTCACTCTGGATTACCGAATCTCCTCGAAACTACAGTTACACTGAAAGGTCCGGAAAATAATTGAAAAAATTGCTTTATAAACATCGGGAGGTGAGTCTTTGGTCTGGGCCGAGGTGGGTCAGGAAAAGAATTCCACTCAAACCGCTTTTTCCGATACCGAGAGTTTCACAGATATAAAGACGACCTTAGGATATAATTTGATTTAGTGGTAGTAGGCTTTACAGCACTTGCAGCACATTACGAGCAACTCAAAGTGCGGAAGATTAAGAGTGTAAATAGAGAGTAACTAACACAAAAAAAAGAGAAAGAGAGAAAGGGACGATGGATATTTGATAGGAAAGAACGAGCAAACGACACCAGAGCACCCGCCACCCACCCACATCTAAGACATTGCGAGCCCCTCTGGGTACGAAACAATCCGTTTTTGAAAACCAACACAATTTTTTTCTTTCTCTCGAATGTGTTAAGTTGAACTTGTGAATGTTTGCGCTCCGAACAAATTGATACTTCTAATGTTATTTAAAAATCACTGAATTTATGACAAAGCGTGGGCCTAAGCTTTTTTTTCAGTGTATGATAGAAGAAAAACGATATATTTACTTGCAATACAATTTGTATGGAGCTAAAAGATTAATTCTAAAAGAAATTCCTACGTTTTGCGTGCATCGAAGGCCAACCCGAAACGAAGTCTGTTTATAAATTATGTTACTCGATAATTTTAATTCTTTGGCTTCTCTTTCAGTGTGTTGCTTCTCTCAGAATATGTATTACCCTATAGCGGTATCACGTTGATCTTATTTCTGTAACAGCCTGTCTTACCTGAGCCCTTTAACACATGCACGCCTCTATTGATCTGCATAATAATATCATAGCTCACGGTTCGTGGAACTACACCTGACACCGTGCTCGGGGGGAGCGCTCTGAGGTGGTCTGCTCTTTGTACTTCTGTTTTATGTCATTCTTCTTGTCTTCTGCTGTTCCTGGTGAAATACCGCCGATAATTCCCGGAGAAACGCAGCCGTTATCGTTTCAGGCTCTATTTTTTGGGTACTTTTTTTTTGTGGAAGCTCTGACCTAAATAACCATTTTTCTAATAATTTTCAGTGGGTGGTTGTCGTGAGCTCTGATGTTGTTTGCTCCTTCTTTCCTATCAAACATCTATGGTCCTGATCTCTCCTCCTTCTGTTTTGTGCTTGTTACCCTATTGCAACACTTCTCATCTTCGGCACTTATATGACCTTACTGTGTTGCAAGTGCTGTAAAACGCTCACTAAAACGTGGTGAAATGTGGCCGTTATCCTTTTGACTCAATATTTTGCACCTCTGTGGCGAAAGCTTTGTGCTATGTAGCAGTTTTCCAAATTTCAGTGGCAGTCTCCGAGTTGCTAACAGGGTAGCATATTCCTTAATTTACCCTCACACGCACCCGTTCAATCTTGCGTCAAATTTATCCACTGATTCTTTTTCAGCGCATTTGATTACATATCGTGTAAGCGCTACTCCTCTCACTCACTCACTCACTCACTCACTCACTCACTCACTCACTCACTCACTCACTCACCCACTCACTCACTCACTCATTCACTCACTCACTCACTCACTCAGTCAGTCGCTCACTCACTCACTCACTCACTCACTCACTCACTCGCTCATTCACTCACTCGCTCATTCACTCACTCGCTCATTCACTCACTCACTCACTCAGTCACCC